ATCTTTCATACTCCCTGGGTAACTCTTTCAACTGCATGGCTATCCACAGAGATGGAAGGAAAAAATCCTAATATGCTATGAATCTTGCTTTCTGCAAACTAAACTATAACATTCATATATATGGAGAACTACAGGTCCCTGTTTTAAGGTAATTAGAAGAAGGCAGCTTTCAAAAGGCAGCCTCTCAGTCTTTTAGAAACTGCCCCATTTCCTTACAATTGTGGTTTCTCAGTTCTGGACAGGTTCTACTTGTCCTCAACATTCATAAAACAGTAACTACTCATTATCAGAGGTCCAACAGTCTCCAACACAATTAAATAATTGCCCCCTATATTTTAATCACAATACTTTCGTTAACACACTCTAGAAAGGCATTTGTTTTTATACAACAATGACTGACATTGAATTTGTGACCTATTGTAACTCCCAGACCCTCAGGTACTTACACTAGCCAGGCATTTCTCATTTACTTGTTCTTTTCCCTCTGTGTGCAGTAATTTTCATTGGTTAGTATTAAGTTTCACCTTCACTGTTTCTCAAGTTTTGTGATTATTTTGAATTTTTACATTGTCCTTCATAGCATTTACCCTTTCCAACCTCACGTCATGAGGATATTTTACAAGCATTATTGCCAATTCTTCTGCTCAAAATTTAAACAAATTTTCTAAATGAAACGTATTTGCACTTGATATATTCTGCCAGCCTGGTCATAACACATTTGTAACTACACTCTGAGTATTATTTATCAAGAAGTTGCATAATAATAGCAAAGCTACCCACAATTAGAGATTCAGTTACAGATGTCTTTAGCTATTCCCTCCCTAATTTACACCCTGTGATTAGAACTCTGGGGTAAACACTTTGGACAAGCTTGTTCCCAGGCCATAAAAATCCAGAAATTACCCCATCTCATTTTTACTGGCAAGATACGTACATTGGCACCTTTCTTCTCTGCCCAGCAACTGCCTCATCGTCCATGTGAAGATGCTGTGCCATTTAACTAGATGTGGGCGTGACTGAAGAGCAATCACTGGCCCTGTTCTCTCCTCTCTTTCTCCCAGCACCACAGAAGCATTCCTGTTGCCTACCTCGGGCACAGTGCCTCTTTTCTTACCCATCTGACACCAAGATAACAAAACTAAGTAACTGAAAAGATTTCCATTGACAATACTCTTGGGTTTTACTGCCATTATTGCAATTGCCCGTGGTGTACATCAGGGCCCTGTTGTGCTAGGCAGTTTACAAACACCAAACAAAAAAGCCCACGCTGTTTAAAGCCTAGGTGTTTGTTTCTACTCTTTTACCGTTTTCTTCAGGGCCACGCGTTCAGCAGACTCCCGGACCGCTACTTTCCTTGATTTTTTTTCATGATGTTCCTCTTCAGAAGTTGACTTGGCCACCTTGCTGACACTAACTCCTTCACCTGTGGCAAAGAGGTTCCTCTTGGCAACATATGCAGCACTTTCTTTAATTCTTTCTTCTTCCGTGTCTGTGATCCCACTGATACCCACTTCTCTGAAAGAATTTTTAAAAAGCAGAATCCCATTGGAAAATGCTGACAACACGTTCCGTTTATACTTTCTATCAAATTAGACAACCACAGTGGCCATATATATTCCATAACATATTTCTGCTATTACAGTCTCACATGCATGCAAAGCAAACCCATGGACGGGTACTTCAGAATGACTAAGTATTTAACTGTCTAAAGTGGTGGCCGTTTTCAGGGCCTCTCTGCGTAACTATGCCACGCACATTTTCAGTTCAAGCATATCCTGTTGTGGTTTCATATCTCCATCGCTATAAAGATTAGCGTAAGGCACACCCACAGATCTTCAGGTGTTGACTTATGGCTGCAGCATTCATAAGGGGCAGGAGATAATTGTAGCTGTGTAATAATGTTCTCATTTGTGATTTATACAAAAGACCACATTACTATATATCACAAAGTTCTCTTTATTCATAGAAAACTCAGTCTTGTAATGTTTGTAGGGTGACTGTTCTTCAAAATGTTTTCAACAAAGATTAAGGATTTTCTTGAAGTATCCTCCTCAGGCTTTCTACAGAGGCGAGATACAACAAACAGTTACTCTCAGTGGGTCCCAATCCTGTTTCCATAGGAACACATGGAAGTACTGTTGCAGCCATATTGTTTTGGCACTGTCAGGACATTATAGCTGCTATAGCAGTTCATATACAATGAGAGTTCCTTGACTTAAGGAGAAGCCTTAATATCCTTCTGCTGAGTTTAGTCACTTGAGGGCACCGTTAGATGGCCCACTGAAAAGGGGTCTGTTTAAGTTCTCCTTACATGCCATCTTGCAAGCACTATAAAGAAAGCAGCCTCTGTTGATTTCCAGAATGTACTCAAGCACAGCCTCACTATTTTTTCATAAAACGTGTACTGATGCTACAAAGAAGATTAGGAAGAATGATATTTTTTTTCTGTTTTCTTTAAGATTGGTAATACGGTGCATTTGATAGCACAACTCAACACTCAAGAAAACTTGGATTCAAGCTCATAATTAACTATCCAGCCACTTATCTTTGGGCTATGAAGTCTGTTCAGTTAGATGCCAGACAGCCAAGCAGTGGAATGTGCTGTAAACTTTATTACGCATAAAAATTGCTCAAAAGACTAAACAAATTACTTAACAGCATAAAGCTTTGACCTCCCTCATGCATTCAAATTCTGCCTTGAATTTTCTGTGTTTCAGGCTGCTTTAACAGGATGATCCTTAAAAGTATCAGTGGGATGACTGATCCCCTTCACTCAGGCACATCAGCTCCCCCCCATAAAATCATCTGAAGCTGCAGATATATTGCAGAGGTTTCCAAAGACAATTTTGAAAATTCAGTTTAATAAATATGAATGTAGCTGTCTACATTCAGTTTAAATGAATTGGTGGCATTTTCCTTCAAAGGCAAGCTGACATTATTTCTTCCTTAGTTACAGTAGTTAAGATCTCAACAGCTTCACAGTATGGACCCGCCCCTCAAGGCATAAAGGATCTTTTGGGAGCTGATGAATATCCTCAGAGTAATATAGGTCTCAGCCTAGTCATCTGCAGTAGTAGTCCCCAGATGGTTTTGATCAACAGTATTAAATATTTAGATTTGCTAATAATTTCCTCGTTTTATAATCTTCCCAGATCAAAGAGAAACATGTTCCTTGAAATGATGAATGCAACAGAAACAGCACACAGTACCATTTAAGAATTGATTCTGCAGTTGAGTCTCAGGGGTTTCAGTCAAAAACACTTTTCAAACAGAAACGATGGGATCAAACCCCAACTGGCACACCCAAAGCACTATTTAAAGGGTTTCTACCATCCAAAGTCGGCGTAGGCTTATTAGCTTTTGCAAATAGTTCCATGAGCCACATCCAGTATCTTTAGCACCTATGGCATTAAATCCAGCTCTGGGTGTTTTATTATCTAGAATATTGGCTGTCTGTCCTTAATTTTATCTTGCAAGGATTAGGCTGAGTGTTTAAGAAGCACAGTTGTGAAGCGAATAATCTGAGCAAGGGAGGGCTTTACAGCAGAACCTGAGGGCTCTGAAATAGAACCAAATAATGCAAATGGTGACACAGCACTGAAGGTCATCCAGCAGCATGGGCAACAGCTCTGACGAACCCATGGAGAGCTGACCTTTAGAAATAATTATTCCTTGTAAAACCTATCTGCCCATGAGAAGCAACACAGCAGTTTCACAGGGGAATTTGGGAATGACATATAACATGCACATGGTTCAACGGCCTTCAGCTGTTATCTCTCAAACAAAAATAAATATCTCACAGGAACGTGGCATGCAACTTCCGCAGTCTTGGCATGCGGTCGCAAACATGATGCCAAGAGAAAAAAGCCTATAACAGATACCCCAATCGTTTCATGCCATGTTGAGTTGGGCACCCTAACAACCATCATATGCCCTTTTTATATTTTTTAACTAATTAAAAAAAACACAACTATTTGGGTCATTTCAGTGGCACAAAAGCACACACAACTTCATGAGTTTCCATGTGCAAAAAGTAAGACTGACACCAACAGCAGTAAGAAGAATAGTGACCATGATGTAAGAATCCGACCGTATCTTTTAATGTAGGATCCCAAAGTACTGCACAGACATCAATAAATGAAGTTACACACCGTCACACTGAGTTAGGTATTACTGTATGCATTTTACAAAAAAGTAAAATGAAAAAAGATTATATGTTAAGATGTTAACACGATGTGTTAAGATCACCGGGGCCTGTAAAAAAGCGAAGATCATCACCCTGGAGTACTAGCCATCAGTCATGATTTTCAACTATGACCAACACTGTAAATTTTACTTTAGTAGACTCAAGACACAATAAAAAGGGAGAACATTTGTGCTTGAGGGCATGGGAGACAGATGATGGTGAGCCGCAAATTTACTGCTATGTAAGCAGAAACACTGGGTGAGACACAATGGTACTGAGAAGCCTTTAAAGTACATTACGACGAGTTTTGTGTGAGACATATTTATGTATTTCTATCACAGAAAATACAGCTGAAACTCCAAAGCAATGGTTTAACAAGGCAACAGTGTGTGCTTCTGAATGCTGGTTGGACAAAAGAGCAGTAAATCTGACACAGAAGTGTACAAGGGTTGAGAAAAAATTACTCCGGGATAGTGGGAGGGAATTAATAACAACTAAAACCTGCTAGTCTCATCACAAAAACATCACAAGCACTCAAAAGGCCAAAGCAATAACACCTCCACTGACAAGGTGGAACTCAGATTCAAATGAAAGCACAAGATTGGACACAAAGCAGAAGTGACATTGGGTGTTGATTAAGTAGTAGACAGGAAAACACTGGCTCCCAGAAACAGCTTGGAAGTGTCCCATGAAAAATGCTGTGCTGCAGAGCAAAGACAAGCTGAAGGAAGGTTTCTGTATAACTGCAGGTGGGCAAGAAATTTTTCTCCTGGCCTCCAATCAGGAACATTTTCCACACCACACCCTGGTATGTATTAATCTGAACAAGTGACTATGCTTGAACTGCAGAGACTCCTAATAAAATCAGCACGCCATACCCCAAAAAGGGCAGGAGAGCCTCCTCCCTCATGTCGGTTCTGGCTTCCACAAAGTTCACATTCAGCTTTACTGAGGACTCTGCTGCAGTAAGATGCATTACATCAGTAGTAACCATGCAATAAATACCACCAACACGTGAGATCTGTATGAATCATTATGATGGATTTGAGAAAGTATTTGGTTTCATTCCAGGTTTTCCCCGTGCCAGGACAAAACATTAGCACATTGTTTCATTGTTTCTATGTTTAATGCTTGGTAAGAGACATTGAATTACTGAACAAGTCTTCAAACCAAAAGAATAAACTAAATAATGTGGACAACATGCTAGTCCAGTTCCCAGTAAGCAGGGTTATAATTATATCTTGATTTCATAGAAAGTGGCCCTGGTGATGTGTTCAAAACAAAGTCCAGACACCTAGCGTAATTTGTCCTGGCTCTGGATGATCAATGTCAGTTGACTTCTCTGTGTCTTTTTACCATTTATGGGAAGTACAAACAACCACCTTGAAATCCTTGAGTGTAAAAAAAGATTAATGGATTAATTATTTTTTAATTTGTTAATAAAATGTCAGAAACAAGATACCAAACAAAAGGGAAATGAACATACCGTCCTGTGAATATGGGCACCGAGTAGTCTATGGCTTCGTTCTCTTTGTCCTCAGATACCAAACTCTGTTTTGCTCTCTTTGCTTTAGGACTCATCTGATAGGATTGATCTTCAATCATTAAACTAGAATCTTTCAGTCTGAAATAAAAATAATATTGTTAAATTCAGGAAAAAAAAAAGCTGTAAAGAAATACTCCAAAACAAGATTAAAGTACTACAAATATTTGCTCTCTTGTTTGACAAGCAAGAAAATATAATTTTTTATAGTCATGGCTTCAGAGTTATGAAACACATAACTAAATGCACTTTTGACAAACTCTTCATTACAAATAGAACACTGATGTCCCCAGATATTAAATCTAAATAAAGAGAATAAAAAAATATACCTGGTAGCAATGCACATTTAATAGCTTCTTGATTTGGGACTTGGAGCATTTGCATACCCAGTTTTGGTAGATCCTGAAGTCCCTGAGACCACTGAATATCTGAACTCATAACCTCTACTTTTCCAAAATTTACAGTCCTGAAATTGCCTGGTCCCCAACCAAAATGCTGGTATGTAAATATATTCAAAGTAATAATGCATTTAAGTCTCTCTACAGAAATTGTAGAGCAGCGTATCGCTCAGTAACCAGTGTTGCCCTTCCCACTGCTCTCCCACACCACCCCAATCCGTTGAAAGCAGAGGTGAGCGAAGTAACACCATTTAACATAGCACAGATAAATGGAGAATGAGGGGAAAGAAAGAGCAGCGAACCAAAGGTAAGTCTTCCCCTCCCCACCAGCCTGGGAGGGATTCTGAAGAACGTGAAGCATATTTGAGGCAGTCATTTTGGGTTCATTTTTAACACAGTTACAAATTGAGTTAACAAAGCTCCAAATATTTCTGTCCTCCTTTCCCAGCGCAACACACCTCTACCTCCCAGATCTATGGAATATCCTAATTAGCTGCCAGCCTTTTATAAATCCCCACAGTGTCTATTCATCTCTGTCTCAACACCGCCAAGGGAAATCATATGTGAGCCTACTTCTGGTCTGGAGATTTGTCTACACAGCATAAGCTTACTGCTTATGTGCGCAGGTACAGGAGCAGAATTAAGGCACACTGTTTCTCAGCAAGGCTCGTTAGCCCAGACATGTACCACTAATGCGGCTACCCCGCTTCCCCCACCCTGGGTAGCTTACCCTGGTGGCTCTACGCAGCACGCTGTACACATATAATCCAAACTCACGCTAGCACTGGGCCCCTGAGAATGTTACACATGTATAATGTCAGGTTAGACACATACTTGGGCTAATGTTTTCCTTAAGCTGCAGCCCTGCAAAAGTACCAAGCTCCAGAGGTGCCACCGACGCAAGTCATAGCAGGAAGAGTGCTCAGTTTCCAAAATACGTGTTAATAATCTAACCATGTGGGACAGTGTGTGTGAGATCACACAGGCCCAGTTTCATTTTCCCATCTTTCCTTCCTTCATTCCTTTGGGCCCATCCCTTTGCTCAGGCTGAGTTTTCTCCTTACCCAGTGCACGTTAAACCGGTCTCCTGTTCTGTGGCTCTCTTAATAGTTTTCTTACTGTCATGTGTCCTAGGTTACAGTGTAAAATGTGC